CAGAGGGTGGTGAGGCACTGGCACAGGTTGCCCAAGGAGGCTGTGGATGCCCCAAACCTGCAGGCATTCAAGGCCAGGCTTTGATGTGGCTCTGGGCAGCCTGGGCTGCTGGTTGGTGACCTGCATGCAGCAGGAACAGGTTGGAAGTGGATGAGCACTGTGCTCCTTTGCAACCCAGGCCGTTCTGTGATTCTATGATTCTATGATTTTATGATTCTATGATTTTATGATTTTATAACCATTCCAAGTACTTCTACCCACCCAAACAGCGATCAGCATCAACGTGGGTTATAGGGTTTCCTTCCTTTACATCACCCAGCAAAGAGGGTGGACAAGTGGGCTGACACAGAACAGAACTCGTGATGAGCCCAACAGCGAGAGGCGATGGCTGCCCCACTGGATGCTGTGTGTGGGGCTCCTGGTGCCCCCCTCTCAGCTGTCTGTGGGGCAGAGGGGCTTCATTAAAGCAAGTGCCTGGTGAGCCGCGTGAGCAGGGCTGGGAGATGCAGTGAATACAACCGATAAAAACAATGCTTTTATTTTTCTGTCAGAGCTCTGGATCATTCTCTGCTGCTGTTCCACATCCAACAGCGGCACCAAAAGCGTCAGGAGCAGGAAAGCAGCATCTGCAGTTTCCATGAGATGTGTTGGCACGTTGCTGCCCTCCTGTCCATGTGGAGGGATGGTGTAGAGGTCAGGACTCTCCCACGGCTGCCAGGGCTGCGGCTGTCAGGATGAGCACCCAGAGGTGTGGGGATTCCATGGGGCTGCTCCTGCCTGGGGAAAATGGGGATGGGCATTAATGGCAGTGGGGCTGCAAGAGGCGCCCAGCCTGGGCCAGGGGCTGCGGGGCCGGGGGCTCCTCTTACCTGCACTGAAAGCACACGGCCAGCCACGGGAGCCGGGCTGGGAGGGCCACGGCACAGACAGAGGCTCCCACTGCACTGCGACCCCAGCGCAGAGCTGCCGGGCTGCAGCCATCAGCGGGGCCTGGCCTCAAGTTCCCCGTGGGCTCCCCGTTGGCCGAGCTCCCCACCTCCCCACGACCACAGCCTGCACAGCCTCCCCACGCCCCCAGATCTCACTTCCCTGATCCACCCAAGCTCCCCGTTCTGCAGCGCTGCAGCCCTTACCCTTCACGAACTCGCAGTTGTAGGTGCTGCTGTTCCCCCGGGATTGGAGCTGGATGAAGTTTCCGTCCGTCGTGTAGGTGATGCTGGTGACCTCAAACTGCTCAAAGGGTGGGATGAGGACTTCGTCCTCACTGGGGAACGCGGAGAGGTCCTTGATGGGCACACCATAGCAGGTCAGCACCAAGAAGAACGTGTCCCGGCCAAAGCCTTCAGCGACCCCCTGGTTGAAGGAGGAAGAGGTGAACTGGCCGAAGCGAACCACCTGGCCTTCCTGTGCTGTGAATCGGGTGCCCCTGACACCGCGGTAGACGTGGTAGCATTGCTGGGGCTGGGATTCCCGCAGGGTCTGCAGGGCTCTGCTCAGGAGGAAATGCAGCGTCTTGAAGGGGTAGGAGCTCAGGTAGTGCTGCCGGGAGCTCCCAGCCGTGAGCGTGGCGTTGTTGAAGACGCGGTACAGATCCCCCTCCATCGTGTACGCCAGCACAGCTATGGCCTGATCCCGTTCCAACACCACTGGGCTGGTGGCATCATCCGATCGGCTCTGCCACAGCTCAGTGGCAGAACGCCAGCCCTCAGCGTAGGTTCTGTTGTTGAACTCGGTGCGGTTCAGCTCCGGCAGCTCAGCCTGCATCGAGTCGATGCAGCCCTGGTACTGGTCATCAAAGGAGTTGGGGGCCGTGTCCATCGCCACCTCCTTGATCTGGCTGTTCTTAATGCTGGCAGCCGATGCAGCAGTCCAGGTGCCGAGCAGCAGCACCCAGCCCAGGACAGTGAGCTCCATGTGCAGAAGGATGCAGGAGCCCAGCTCTGTGCAGCACTGCTCAGCAACGGCGCAGGGGCACAGGAGGGGGCACAGCTCAGTGTGCTCAGGATCACCCCGCTGCCTCCTCTGCCTGTTTCACTCTCTTCTCCTCCCTTCAATACCACCTTTATCCTGTCCCCCTCCCTTTCCCACTCCCTTTCCCGTAAGGAAAAGTGAAAGGCACAGGGAGTGTTCCCATGTTGGCAGAGACACCAAGGGAGCAGCAATTGGACCATTGACCTCTGCTTGTGGGACCACGGAAGGAAGGAAGGAAAGCCCCCAGCCAAGCCCTGAGTGTTCCTGCCCCAGCTCTGCGGATGGACGTCGGCCCAGGACCCCACACCTCAATGTCGGGGCCTGCAGCGCCAGGCAGTGCAGCCACGGGGTTGTGATGTTACCCTGCAGCAGCTCAGCCCCCCTTTGCTCACTTCCCCGTCCTTGGGGATGGGGGAGAGAATTGGGAAACAGCAGAAAAGAAGTTGAGCTCACCACCCATCAGTGGCTGCCCCATCACTGCAAGCATGTGCTGATTGCCATGGTGAGCCTGTGGGACGTGACATGATCCACCTCCAGGCCCCCCCATATCTATATGTCAGCCATCATCCTCCAGACAAATGGTCATGATCCCCTTGACTTGCTTAATTACCCTGTGTGTTTCACATCCATGATAACCTGTGCAATAGCATCCACGGCCAAGTCCACCCCTCGATCCCGAGCGCAGCCACAGGCACCCATCACCTCCTCCTCTGTTGACGTTCCAAAATCTCTGCCTTCATCCAGTCCATGATCATTTCCAAGATCCCTGCACAACGAGGGATTCCAACTTGAGCCCACTGTGTGGTCACTGCAAGTCACTTCCTCCACATAACATCAGTGGCAGTTGGGTGAACCAGTTCCTGTTTAATTGGGTGGAAGGCTTGCTGCTGCTCTCTTCTGAGCCACTTGATAATTGGAAGAATTATCGTTAGCACGGGGTGGTCACACACTGGGACAGGTTTGCAGGTAGCAGTTGATGCTCCATGCCTGCAGTGCTCAGGAGGCATTTGGACGATGCCCTCAGCGCAGTGCTGTACATTCTGGTTAGCCCTGCAGTGCTGCACTGAGGGGTCCATGGAGCCTTCCTTCCCTTCTCCATGCTGGACACCCCCAGCCCCCTCAGCCTTTCCCCACAGGAGAGCTGCTCCAGCCCTTTCAGCATCTCCGCGACCTCCTCTGCTCCCATTCCAACACCTCCACGTCTTTCCTGGGACGGGACACCCAGACCTGGGTGCAGTGCTCCAGGTGGGGCCTCATGATGAAGGAGCAGAGGGACAATCCTTTACTCCTGCTGTGCCAAGCGCACCGCTCAGCTGGGCGTCAGCAGCAAACTGCTGAGGCTGCACTCGATCCCATCGTTGGTGTCACTGAGGGAGATGTTGATGTTCCCAGGACGGACCCCTTGGGGACACCGCTCAGCTCCGCCTCCCGCTGAACTCAGAGCCGTTGACCACCACCCTCTGACCACGGCCGTCCATCCGATTCCTTACCCACCGAGTTGCCCACCCTTGAAACCCACAGCTCTCCACTTCAGAGATCAGGACATTTTCCTTCCTCCTCCCTCCAGAAGAACCTCCCCAAAGAGCTCGGCCCGCACACCTTCTTCTCGGTGCAGACCTGCTATGGTGCGCCCGTCCAGAGCTTCACCGCCCTCCCTGCTGAGCACAAAGTCCTCATCCCAGCTGCCGAGCAGCTCAAGGTCACCAGCATCACCTGTAACAAAGGCATCACCTCCATCACCAGGGGAAGAGCAGCTCCTACAGCTGCGAGCTCATGAAGGGCACGGGCTGCAGCGCGGCGCTCCTGAATGGGGAGCTGGGATGGATCGGGGCCCGGCAGCTGCGGGAGAGCCCTGAGCTCTGCACTGCCCCTCCGCAAGGACAGGAGGGCAGCAAGGCGCCCTCATTGCATCGCGTGGAAACTGCGGGCGCTGCTTCCCGCTGCTTTTTGGACGCTTTTGGTGCCGCTGTCCAACGGGGAACGACAGCGGGTGAATCACGAGAGCAGCTTCTCTTGGTGAGAAGTGCCTGTGCACACTGATGAAGCAGTTAGCAGGTGGAAGACGGTGTGCCTGCATAAGGGTGAGCTGAGGGCAGAATGCGGAGTCGGCAGTAAATCTCAGGCAATCAAAGATAAGAAAGAACAATGGAGGCCTTGTTGTTGAAGGTATGGCAGCAAAGCAGATGCCTGAACTGAACACAACGCCAGTGCCGTGTTGTTTGGGCTGCCCCCACCAAAAGGTTGGAGGTTCACAGTGACGGTGCCTCATGCAACGAGCTTTGAGCCCCAACCAACACTGCTTCTCTGTCACCCCATCATGCAGTGACTCAAAGGTTGTTTGAAATTGATGTGTAAATGACCATCTAGGGTGGTGAGGAATAGAATGGAAAGGGGATGGAAAGGGAAGGGGATGGGAATGGAAGGGGCAGGGGAATGGGAGTGGAAGGGGTGGGAAGGGAAGGGAAGGAAAAAGGAAACGAAAAAGGAGAAGGGAAAGGAAAGGGAGAAGGAGAAGGGGGAAAAAAAAGGGAGAGTGAGAGGGAGGGAGAGGGGGAGAGGAGGAGAGGAGAGGAGAGGAGAGGAGAGGAGAGGAGAGGAGAGGAGAGGAGAGGAGAGGAGAGGAGAGGAGAGGAGAGGAGAGGAGAGGAGAGGAGAGGAGAGGAGAGGAGAGGAGAGGAGAGGAGAGGAAGCATCAATGCCCTTGGTATAAGGAATACTATTTCCTACATTTTTTTCCTGCGGGGTTTTCAGCTGGCCATAGGAGCAGGTTCTTTCTGAGCTCACGGAGCTGTATGTTTGGGAACACAGACAGGTCTTATCTTATGTACTATTGGTGCTCATCCCCATGGGGACAACCCTCTGCTCTGAAAGTCCCCATCCCAACACCCGTGTGCGATGCTGCTGGTTGTTGTTAAACTCATCCGCATTTTCTGTGCTGGTTTGAATTCATAGAGGGTGCAAAAGAGATTAGAAACATCGCTATGGGGGCACATGCTGCCTCCAGGAGCTTAAGTGCATGACACAAATGCTGTTTTTCACTGGGATCATTATTACTGTGCATAGAAAGTCTTAGTGCATCTAGCTTCACAGGAAGACAGCAAATTGCAATGGAGAGGGTTGTGCAGGGCAGTGGTGATGGCGTTGTGTTTGCTGGAGCTTGAGAAGAGTGTGGGTAATGCCCTCGGTCATATGGTCTCATTTTGGGGCAGTCCTGTGTGGAGCCAGGAGTTGGACTCGATGACGGTGATGGGTCCCTTCCTACTTGGGATATTCAGTGATTGTATGATGGGACCTCATTGCAGCTTTCCATTACTGGATGAGATCTTAGAAGCAAGAGGGACTCTGCCCTTTCATGTGGGCTGAGTATGATAGGACAATGGGAAAGGTTCAATATAAAGAATAATAATAATGAAATGGAGATATAGAATAGATAGTAGAGGGAAAATCTTCACTCAGAGGACCTGTGGTGAAGCCCTGGAGCAGGGTGCTTAAGGAAGCCATGGGTGCCCCATCCCTGGAGGTGCCCAAGGTCATGGATGGGATCCTGGGCAGCCTGAGCAGGTGGGGGCACCCAGCCCATGGCAGGGGTGGGGATTGGATGGGTTTTAGAGTCCGTTCCAACCCAAACCTTTCCATGACTCCACCATGATGTTGCCAGGGGGATGGGGCCACACAGTCTGTCCCCTGATCCTCTCCAGCCGTGGCTGGAAGAGTGCAGGGAGCACAGAGCTGCCCGGGGCTGTGCCCCAGCCCCTGTTGGCCACCCCGCCAGCAGCCCTTACCCTTCACAAGCTCGCAGTTGGAGCTGCTGCTCTTCTCCTGGGAATGGAGATGGATGAGGGCTCTGCTTTTGACGTGGCTGAAGTTGCTGACCTGAACGTACTCAAAGGGTGGGATGAGGATTTCTGACTGCTCAAACAGGCTCTGGCCAGCTCTGCCCTTATCTCAGCCCTCCAGATCCCACATCGGGCACCAAAAGGGCCAATGTGGGTTTCCCTTCCTCTCCACGACACCGCACGTCCTCCTGAGCCAGACCTTGTGGGAATCCCAGCCCAACGCTGCCACCACATCTACTCCAGCATCAGGAACACCCACTTCATGGCACAGCAATGGTCCACGTTGTCCAGTTCCCCTCCTCCAGCCTCCAGAAGAAGGTCGATGAGTCCTTTGGCCTGGACACCTTCTTCTGCGTGGAGCCCTGCCATGCTGTCCCCATCAAAGACTCCTCCTTCCACCCTGATGAGGACAGAGAAGTCCTCTTTGCACCCTTTGAGACCACGGAGGTCACCATAAAAAAGTAAGGGAAAAGCCTTTGTCCATCTCCACTCCCAGTGCAAAAACAGCACCTACAACTTGAAACTCGAGGAGGGTGCGGGCTGCCGGCAGGGCTCTCATGGAGGGAACATCTCTGCTGTTGGGGAACTTGTGGATATTTGGGAGCAAGGGGAGCTGGAGGAACTTAGAGCTCTGCAAAGCCACGGGGTTCTGCAGGGGAAGGGGAGGAGTGGGACCACAGTGGGGTCGGGGGGTAGCAAGTAGTAGGGGTAGGGAGCTGCTCTACACCCTGCTGTGCAGGTCCCATGGGCTGCGTTCCAGGGAGGGGGCAAGGCAGCCTGGTCGTGCAGCACAGCTTGGTGCTTGGAGGTGACCTCACCGTGGAGGTGAGCACGGCGGGACCTGCAAGCAAAGATCTGCTCAGTCTTCAGCAGCCGTCGCGGCAGTGGCACAAGCTTTGGTGAGAAGCTCGAGCAGGATGTGGGGCCAGCAGTGCTGATGGGAATGTCACGGAGAGGCGTTCGGATCCAAGGGATGGCAGCAGTGCGGGGTGCAGCTCAGGGCTCCCCCAGGGCTGCCAGGGCTGCGGCTGCCAGGAGGAGCACGCAGAGGTGTGGGGGTTCCATGGGGCTGCTCCTGCCTGGGGGAACGGTGGCAGGCAGTTAATAGCAGTGGGGGGCTGCAAGCAGTGCCCAGCCTGGGCCAGGGGCTGCGGGGCCGGGGGCTCCTCTTACCTGCAATGAAAGCACACGGCCGCTCCTTGCACCTTTTCTCTGCAAAGAGACCGAGAGCGCTGCAGGGCCGCGGCACAGACAGAGGCTCCCACTGCACTGCGACCCCAGCGCAGAGCTGCCGGGCTGCAGCCATCAGCGGGGCCTGGCCTCAAGTTCCCCGTGGGCTCCCCGTTGGCCGAGCTGCCCACCTCCCCACGACCACAGCCTGCACAGCCTCCCCACATCCCTGGTCCTCACTGTGCCCAATTCACCCAAGCTCCCCATTCTGGAGCGCTGCAGCCCTTACCCTTCACGAACTCGCAGTTGTAGGTGCTGTTCATCCCCTGGGAGCGGAGCTGGATGGAGGTTCTTCCCTCATTGTAGGTGATGTTGGTGACCCTGAATTGCTCAAAGGGTGGGATGAGGACTTCATCCTCACCGGGGAAAGTGGAGAATTCCTTGATGGGCACGCCGTAGCAGGTCTCCACTGAGAAGAAGGTGTCTTGGCCAAAAGATTCAGCGACCTTCTTCCGCAGGGAGGAGGAGGTGAACTGGCCGAAGCGGACCACCCTGCCCTGCTGTGCTGTGAATCGGGTGCCCCTGACACCGCGGTAGACGTGGTGGCATCGCTGGGGCTGGGATTCCCGCAGGGTCTGCAGGGCTCTGCTCAGGAGGAAATGCAGCGTCTTGAAGGGGAAGGAGCGCAGGTAGTGCTGCCGGGAGATGCCATCCTCCCTCGTGGCTGTGTTGAACTGGTGGTACAGTTTCCCCTCCATCGTGTACGCCAGCATGGCTGTGGCCTGATCCCGTCTCAGTGCCGGTGGGCGGTCGGCACGACCCCATCGATTTCGCCACTCCATGGCAGCATTTCTCCAGCCCTCAGCATAGACCTCGTTGGTGAACTCGGTGCGGTTCAGCTCCTCCAGCTCATCCTCCATCATGCGTCTGCAGCCCTGGTACTGGTCATCAAAGGTGGTGTTGGCCATGTTCATCGCCACCTCCTTGACTGGGCCCAGGTCTCTCTTGCTGCTGGTGGCCAACACGCTGGCCAAGGCGCCAAGCAGCAGCACCCAGCCCAGGAGGACGTGCTCCATGTGCAGAAGGACCCAGGTGCCCATCCGCACACACACTGATTCCCCCAGCACAGCCCCACCACCCCTGAGCTTCAGCCCCACACTGCCTGCGCCCCGTGACACACGAACGCAGCTGCTCTGCCTTTTTATAGTAACCCTGGCTGCATCCCATGGGTTATTTATAATTACATCTAGGACCTCTCAGAATATCTGTCGCTGCTGACTTGTTGCAAATGGCCGCGTGCACATCATCAGGAAATACCCTTTAAACAGTCATCCTTGCTTTAGTCTACACGTAACGCCAAGCAGGACACTGTCCTGGGCCTTGAAATGCAAGTCTAGTGGTGACGTGGATCCCTAGAAAGAGCTGAAGCTTGCAATGGCATTCATTTCTGAAACAATCTCATCGATCCCTGGGCCAAAGTACGTGGCTGTGAGTGGGGCCATCACACCCCTTATCATTCAGAACTGTGGGAGATTCAAATACCAGCAGCTGCTACAGAATAGACCAAGAGCAACAGAATAAACCAAGAGCAACGGGTATTGGGATGTTCAGACACTGGGACACACATTTAGCAAGGGCCGCCTGGTTAGTCAACACCCAGGGTCTGCAGTCAAGCTGCTCCTGCCTGACCAAAACTCTCAGGCACTGGAGAAGGAATTAAAGTCACTGAATCAGAGCCAGGTGTCTGGCTGCAGGCACAGTGACTCCTTCTCGTGCTCTTCCAGCTTTTTCCTCGTGGTATCATAAGCTATGGGATGTCCCTTTGGCCAGCTGAGGTCTGCTGCCCCAGTTTTGTCTCCTCCCTGCTCCTTATGCTCCCACTCCCCCAACGGTACGACAGCAGTGGATGCTGAAGTCTGAAACATCCTCAACTCTGTGCAGCACTGCTCAGCAACAGCGCGGGGGCACAGGAGGTGGGCACAGCGCAGTGTGCTCAGGATCACCCCGCTGCCTTCCCTAACTCTCCCCTCCTCCCTTTATCAGCTCCTTCAGGCCGCCCCACTCCCTTTCCAGTAATCGAAAGCGAAAGGCACAGGGAGTGTCCCCACTCTGGCAGTGAAACTTCAAAATGCAGCACCGGGACAACTGACAGCTGCTCACAGGGAACAAAGGAAGGAAGGAAAGCCCCCAGCCAAGCCCTGAGTGCTCCCGTCCCAGCTCTGCGGATGGACGGCAGCCCAGGACCCCACACCTCAATGTCGGGGCCTGCAGCACCAGGCGGTGGCAGCCACGGGGTTGTGGTGTTAGTGGGAGGTGAGGTGGGAGGCCATGCCAAAGCCTTGCACAAGCCCAGGTAGCTGACACCAACCAGCATCCCTTTGTCCACTGATGCCGTCCCTCTATAGCAGAAGGCTGCTGGATGGGTCAGGCAAGATGTTCTCTTGGTGAAGCTCTGCTGGGTGTCTGGATCTCCTCCAGATTGCGCTGATGCTGCTGTAACATCTCTCCCATTACTAAGAAGGAGAAAAGGAAGACCTGGTGAACTGAGATGACCGCATGTGGCAACTCACACTCTGTGTGGGAACTCACACGCATTGAAAGTGAGGGTGACTGCTGGAAGCACTTTCTCGTGCTGTGCATGCAGCAGAAACACAGCAGCAACAGCAATTGTCAGAGGTCACGGGCGGTCGGTGTATAAAGAACCATGTCACCCAAGACAGGGCACCCAGGTTCATGCCAAGCAGAGTGGGGACGAAGCCGGCTGCAGCTCCGGGGCTGGTTGGGCTGTGCTGGGGGAACCATTGTGTGGGCAGCTGGGCTCCTGCATCCTTCTGCACATGGAGCACACTGTCCTGGGCTGGGTGCTGCTGCTCAGCACCTGGACTGCTGCATCGGCTGCCAGCATTAAGAACAGCCAGATCAAGGAGGTGGCGATGGACACGGCCCCCAACTCCTTTGATGACCAGTACCAGGGCTGCATCGACTCGATGGAGGCTGAGCTGCCGGAGCTGAACCGCACCGAGTTCAACATCTACGCCCAGGACTGGAGAAGGGCAGCTGCAGAATGGCAGAGCCGATGGGGCCGAGCTGCCCGCCCACCAGCACTGAGACGGGATCAGGCCACAGCCATGCTGGCATACATGACGCAGGGGAACCTGTACCACCAGTTCAACAACGCCACGCTCACGGCTATGAGCTCCCGGCAGCACTACCTGAGCTCCTACCCCTTCAAGACGCTGCATTTCCTCCTGAGCAGAGCCCTGCAGACCCTGCGGGAATCCCAGACCCAGCGATGCTTCCAGGTGTACCGCGGTGTCAGGGGCATCCGCTGCACAGCACAGCAAGGCCAGGTGGTTCGCTTCGGCCAGTTCACCTCCTCGTCCCTCCAGAAGAACCTCCCCAGTGCGTACGGCCCGGACACATTCTTCTCGGTGGAGACCTGCTATGGTGTGCCTGTCCAGAACTTCACCACATTCCCAGCTGAGGGCAAAGTCCTCATCCCACCCTCTGAGCGCTTCAGGGTCACCAGCATCACCCATAACAAAGGCCTTACCTCCATCCAGCTCCGCTCCCAGGGGAACAACAGCACCTACAACTGCGAGTTGGTGACGGGTAAGGGCTGCGAGTGCGTTCAGGGCAGGGGGGCAGGGTTTGGGCACAGCACTGGGCAGCTCTGCAATCTCTGCATCCCTGCAGCTGCAGGACAGAGAGGGTGGTCCCATGCTGACAGCTCTGTAGGGTGAAGGGGGATCTTGTGGGGTTGGCAACACCTCCATAGGATCGTATGACCACACGGGTTGGAAGGCGCCCTGAGGTCCAGCCAGCACCAGCCCTCTGCCACGTCCTGGCTGCGTCCCTCTCGGCCAGGCTGCCCAGGGCCCCACGCCAAAGTTCTTCTTCTTCTGTAGTGCTCCTTCCAAGCACCAGAAACCCACAGTGGGATTTCCCCAGATCCCTCTCTTCTCCAGGTGGAACCAGCCCAGCTCCTTCACTTTCCATGACAGAGCTGTGCTCCAGAATGGGGCGCTTGGGTGGATCTGTGAGACTGAGGACCGGGTGCGTGGGGAGGCTGTGCAGGCTGTGGTCGTGGGGAGGTGGGCAGTTCGGCCAACGGGGAGCCCACGGGGAACTTGAGGCCAGGCCCCGCTGATGGCTGCAGCCCGGCAGCTCTGCGCTGGGGTCGCAGTGCAGTGGGAGCCTCTGTCTGTGCCGCGGCCCTGCAGCGCTCTCGGTCTCTTTGCAGAGAAAAGGTGCAAGAAGCGGCCGTGTGCTTTCAGTGCAGGTAAGAGGAGCCCCCGGCCCCGCAGCCCCTGGCCCAGGCTGGGCACTGCTTGCAGCCCCACTGCCATTAATGCCCATCCCCATCCTCCCCAGGCAGGAGCAGCCCCATGGAATCCCCACACCTCTGGGTGCTCCTCCTGGCAGTCGCTGCCCTGGTAGCTGTGGGAGAGCCCTGACCTCTACACCATCCCACTGCTGCTCCTCCATACGCACAGGAGGGCAGCAATGTGCCAACACATCTTATGGAAACTGCAGATGCTGCTTTCTTGCTCCTGATGCTTTCGGTGTTGATGTCCGACAGCAGAGAACGGTCCAAGGATCTTCCAGAAAAATAAAAGCATTGCCTTTATTGCCTTTATTTACTGTACCTTCCAGTCCTGCACACTCGCAGCCTCCCTGTCCTTCTTTGCATGCTTTCTAGAAAGCGGGGAGGGTCTCTGGGCTCATCTGGTGGTCCTTGGATGAAGGCTATTGCAAAGACTTTATAGGGTTGCACTGTGTCTCAACAGCAACTCTGCCTGCTTATCTTCGCAGGGACACCCAGTGAATTGCAGACAGCAGCTCTCTTATCTCCACTTCTCTCCAAGGGCCTCACATTCCTATGGTTTTGTGTTCCTCCCTGTCTATAACAAAATGGACCGGGTATCATTAACGACCAACAAGTCAAATCTGGGACCTAGCTTACTCTGATTTTCATCCCCATATTTACAATTCCTCCAGCCTCTTCCATCTGGTTTGTTACCCGACCTGGGACTGTCCAATTCAGTGCAGCTGCTCCACAAGCAGGCACCCTCCCCTCCCTGGCCCTACATACCCAGCAAGCTGTAACTGTCAAAGCTTGAGTCAGCTTTTCAGTTAGCTTTGCAGAGGCATTTTCAGGCCAAGCTAAAGCAAGAGTTAAAATTATACAGGATAGATAAGAATGAAGCATTCTGCTTTCCTTTTGTAAGTGTCAGAGGTCCCATGGGGTAGCAGCACACTGAGGATCGGGGGCCTTCTTTGCCCTGGACTGATGAATCCGTGAAGATGCCTCCTTGAATCTGATGGCTGTGTGGGTGGGAAGAAGAACCTGGAATGGTCATAGAATCGTAGAATCATAGAATCATAGAATCACAGAATCACAGAACGGCCTGGGTTGCAGAGGAGCACAGTGCTCATCCACTTCCAACCCCCTGCTGCATGCAGGTCACCAACCAGCAGCCCAGGCTGCCCAGAGCCACATCCAGCCTGGCCTCGAATGCCTGCAGGGATGGGGCATCCACAGCCTCCTTGGGCAACCTGTGCCAGTGCCTCACCACCCTCTGCCTCCAAAACTTCCTCCTCACATCCAGCCCAAACCTCCCCTGACTCACTTTAAAGCCATTCCTTGTCCCATCACCATCCACCCTCACACACAGCCGTTCCCCCTCCTGTTTGCCCGCTCCCTTCAAGCACTGAAGGCCACCATGAGGTCTCCCTGCAGCCTTCTCTTCTCCAAGCTCAACAAGCCCAGTTCCCTCAACCTTTCCTCACAGCAGAGCTGCTCCAGCCCTCTGCTCATCTCAGTGCCCTCCTCTGGACCCGCTCCAAGAGCTCCACGTCCTTCCTGTGCTGGGGCCCCACAGGAGCAGATGGGGCCTCACAAGAGAGCAATAGAGGGGGACGATCACCTCCCTCTCCTGCTGGCCACCCCTTTTCAATGCAGCCCAGAACACATTGGCTGCATTCCGGCTGCAGCCCGATGGCTGCGTCCAGCCAGCCAGTTCCTAATCCATCCAACAGTCCACCCCTCAAATCCACACCTCCCCAATGTAGAGAGAAGGACGCGGTGAGGGACCATGGCAGAGGCCTTGCAGAACTCCAGGCAGATGACATCCTTCACCCTTCCCCCGTCCACCAAAGCCGTCACTCCATCTCAAGGCCACCGCATCGGTCAGGCACCATCTGGCCTTGGTGCAGCCCTGCTGGCTGTCTCAAATCGCCCTTTGTCTCAGATGTGCCTTAACACAGCTTCTAGAGGATCTGCTCCACCATCTTCCCAGGCACAGAGGTGAGGCTCGCCGGCCTGTCGTTCCCCAGGTCTTCCTTCCTGCCTTTCTTAAAAGTGAGAGAAACATTTCCCTTTTCCCAGTCACTGCACAGCCAATGAAGATCGATGATAATGGTAGAGTCGTTACCCAAATTGCCCAAGGCGTACAGAAAATAGCCCATGTTCCATCCAAACCACAAAACATCCAGACTTGACCTCTTTTCCTGGCTCCCAGGTGGCCCATGGGTGAAACGTGTCCCGTTTGATCTGTTTTGTGCTGAGGCAATGCTGATGTTTGTTCCGTGCGTGGTTCCGTGCTTTATTCAACCTGCACAGCGTGCTGCTCTTTGTAACCACTGCAACCGAGGACAAGTGGGGCCGGTGAGGGCAACACTTCTGAGCAAGCCCAAGAAATCCAGGGTAGAACTGTGCAACATTTGTCCCCCCCATACCTCCAGCTCTCTTTCCCTTATCTTTACTTTCTTTTTCTTTTCTTTCCTCACCACCCTAGATGGTCATTTATTCACCAGTTTCAAACAACCTTTGAGCCACTGCGTGATGGGGTGACAGAGAAGCAGTGTTGGTTGGGCTCAAATCTGGCTGCATGAGGCACTTTCGATGATAAGACTTACTGACAGCTGGGAATTATCTGGGGCTGAGCGGGGGCTGCTGCCATGTCACAGCACTGCTGCTTATGGCTGCGAAGATCAGCAGAGGCGGACAAGCAGCTTTGTCTGGGGTGGACTGGAGGAGCCGAGCTGACACACCAAGAACAGCAGTGCCTGCATATAAAGGCTGAAGTACACACAGCATCCCAGGGAAACGGGCCGGAGCTGTGAGAAGCAATGCACATACTGTGCCAGCCTCCTGAGCATGAGTGCTGTAAATGGGGTTGGGGTCTCTGGTGGTCGTTGGATGAAGGCTTGCAGTCACCGTCACTGTGAACCTCCAACCTTTTGGTGGGGGCAGCCCAAACAACACGGCACTGGCGCTGTGTTCAGTTCAGGCATCTGCTTTGCTGCCATACCTTCAACAACAAGGCCTCCATTGTTCTTTCTTATCTTTGATTGCCTGAGATTTACTGCCGACTCCGCATTCTGCCCTCAGCTCACCCTTATGCAGGCACACCGTCTTCCACCTGCTCACTGCTTCATCAGTGTGCACAGGCACTTCTCACCAAGAGAAGCTGCTCTCGTGATTCACCCGCTGTCGTTCCCCGTTGGACAGCGGCACCAAAAGCGTCCAAAAAGCAGCGGGAAGCAGCGCCAGCAGTTTCCACGCGATGCAATGAGGGCGCCTTGCTGCCCTCCTGTCCTTGCGGAGGGGCAGTGCAGAGCTCAGGGCTCTCCCGCAGCTGCCGGGCCCCGATCCATCCCAGCTCCCCATTCAGGAGCGCCGCGCTGCAGCCCGTGCCCTTCATGAGCTCGCAGCTGTAGGAGCTGCTCTTCCCCTGGTGATGGAGGTGATGCCTTTGTTACAGGTGATGCTGGTGACCTTGAGCTGCTCGGCAGCTGGGATGAGGACTTTGTGCTCAGCAGGGAGGGCGGTGAAGCTCTGGATGGGCGCACCATAGCAGGTCTGCACCGAGAAGAAGGTGTGCGGGCCGAGCTCTTTGGGGAGGTTCTTCTGGAGGGAGGAGGAAGGAAAATGTCCTGATCTCTGAAGTGGAGAGCTGTGGGTTTCAAGGGTGGGCAACTCGGTGGGTAAGGAATCGGATGGACGGCCGTGGTCAGAGGGTGGTGGTCAACGGCTCTGAGTTCAGCGGGAGGCGGAGCTGAGCGGTGTCCCCAAGGGGTCCGTCCTGGGAACATCAACATCTCCCTCAGTGACACCAACGATGGGATCGAGTGCAGCCTCAGCAGTTTGCTGCTGACGCCCAGCTGAGCGGTGCGCTTGGCACAGCAGGAGTAAAGGATTGTCCCTCTGCTCCTTCATCATGAGGCCCCACCTGGAGCACTGCACCCAGGTCTGGGTGTCCCGTCCCAGGAAAGACGTGGAGGTGTTGGAATGGGAGCAGAGGAGGTCGCGGAGATGCTGAAAGGGCTGGAGCAGCTCTCCTGTGGGGAAAGGCTGAGGGGGCTGGGGGTGTCCAGCATGGAGAAGGGAAGGAAGGCTCCATGGACCCCTCAGTGCAGCACTGCAGGGCTAACCAGAATGTACAGCACTGCGCTGAGGGCATCGTCCAAATGCCTCCTGAGCACTGCAGGCATGGAGCATCAACTGCTACCTGCAAACCTGTCCCAGTGTGTGACCACCCCGTGCTAACGATAATTCTTCCAATTATCAAGTGGCTCAGAAGAGAGCAGCAGCAAGCCTTCCACCCAATTAAACAGGAACTGGTTCACCCAACTGCCACTGATGTTATGTGGAGGAAGTGACTTGCAGTGACCACACAGTGGGCTCAAGTTGGAATCCCTCGTTGTGCAGGGATCTTGGAAATGATCATGGACTGGATGAAGGCAGAGATTTTGGAACGTCAACAGAGGAGGAGGTGATGGGTGCCTGTGGCTGCGCTCGGGATCGAGGGGTGGACTTGGCCGTGGATGCTATTGCACAGGTTATCATGGATGTGAAACACACAGGGTAATTAAGCAAGTCAAGGGGATCATGACCATTTGTCTGGAGGATGATGGCTGACATATAGATATGGGGGGGCCTGGAGGTGGATCATGTCACGTCCCACAGGCTCACCATGGCAATCAGCACATGCTTGCAGTGATGGGGCAGCCACTGATGGGTGGTGAGCTCAACTTCTTTTCTGCTGTTTCCCAATTCTCTCCCCCATCCCCAAGGACGGGGCAGTGAGCAAAGGGGCTGAGCTGCTGCAGGGTAACACCATAACCCCGTGGCTGCACTGCCTGGCGCTGCAGGCCCCGACATTGAGGTGTGGGGTCCTGGGCCGACGTCCATCCGCAGAGCTGGGACGGGAGCACTCAGGGCTTGGCTGGGGGCTTTCCTTCCTTCCTTTTTCCCCTGTGAGCAGCTGTCAGTGGTTCCATTGCTTTTCCCTTGGTGTCTCTGGTAGCATGGGAACACTTTCTGTGCTTTTTGCTTCTGCTTACGGGAAATGGAGAGGGACAGCATAAAGGAAGTGGCAAAGGGAGGAGGGGAGAGTGAAACAGGCAGAGGAGGCAGCGGGGTGATCCTGAGCACACTGAGCTGTGCCCCCTCCTGTGCCCCTGCGCCGTTGCTGAGCAGTGCTGCACAGAGCTGGGCTCCTGCATCCTTCTGCACATGGAGCACACTGTCCTGGGCTGGGTGCTGCTGCTCGGCACCTGGACTGCTGCATCGGCTGCCAGCATTAAGAACAGCCAGATCAAGGAGGTGGCGATGGACACGGCCCCCAACTCCTTTGATGACCAGTACCAGGGCTGCATCGACTCGATGCAGGCTGAGCTGCCGGAGCTGAACCGCACCGAGTTCAACAACAGAACCTACGCTGAGGGCTGGCGTTCTGCCACCGAGCTGTGGCAGAGCCGATCGGATGATGCCACCAGCCCAGTGGTGTTGGAACGGGATCAGGCCATCGCTGTGCTGGCGTACACGATGGAGGGGGATCTGTACCGCGTCTTCAACAACGCCACGCTCACGGCTGGGAGCTCCCGGCAGCACTACCTGAGCTCCTACCCCTTCAAGACGCTGCATTTCCTCCTGAGCAGAGCCCTGCAGACCCTGCGGGAATCCCAGACCCAGCAATGCTACCACGTCTACCGCGGTGTCAGGGGCACCCGATTCACAGCACAGCAAGGCCAGGTGGTTCGCTTCGGACGCTTCACCTCCTCCTCCTTCAACCAGGGGGTCGCTGAAGGCTTTGGCCGGGACACGTTCTTCTTGGTGCTGACCTGCTATGGTGTGCCCATCAAGGACCTCTCCGCGTTCCCCAGTGAGGACGAAGTCCTCATCCCACCTGCCGAGCAGTTTGAGGTCACCAGCATCACCTACACGACGGACGGAAACTTCATCCAGCTCCAATCCCGGTGGAACAGCAGCACCTACAACTGCGAGTTTGTGAAGGGTAAGGGCTGCAGCGCTGCAGAACGGGGAGCTTGGGTGGATCTGGGAAGTGAGATCTGAGGGCGTGGGGAGGCTGTGCAGGCTGTGGTCGTGGGGAGGTGGGGAGCTCGGCCAACGGGGAGCCCACGGGGAACTTGAGGCCAGGCCCCGCTGATGGCTGCAGCCCGGCAGCTCTGCGCTGGGGTCGCAGTGCAGTGGGAGCCTCTGTCTGTGCCGTGGCCCTCCCAGCCCGGCTCCCGTGGCTGGCCGTGTGCTTTCAGTGCAGGTAAGAGGAGCCCCCAGCCCGCAGCCCCTGGCCCAGGCTGGGCGCCTCTTGCAGCCCCACTGCCATTAATGCCCATCCCCATCCTCCCCAGGCAGGAGCAGCCCCATGGAATCCCCTCACCTCTGGGTGCTCATCCTGGCAGCCGCAGCCCTGGCAGCCGTGGGAGAGTCCTGACCTCTACACCATCCCTCCACATGGACAGGAGGGCAGCAACGTGCCAACACATCTCATGGAAACTGCAGATGCTGCTTTCCTGCTCCTGACGCTTTTGGTGCCGCTGTTGGATGTGGAACAGCGGCAGAGAATGATCCAGAGCTCTGACAGAAAAATAAAAGCATTGTTTTTATCGGTTGTATTCACTGCATCTCCCAGCCCTGCTCACGCGGCTCACCAGGCACTTGCTTTAATGAAGCCCCTCTGCCCCACAGACAGCTGAGAGGGGGGCACCAGGAGCCCCACACACAGCATCCAGTGGGGCAGCCATCGCCCCTCGCTGTTGGGCTCATCACGAGTTCTGTTCTGTGTCAGCCCACTTGTCCACCCTCTTTGCTGGGTGATGTAAAGGAAGGAAACCCTATAACCCACGTTGATGCTGATCGCTGTTTGGGTGGGTAGAAGTACTTGGAATGGTTATAAAATCATAAAATCATAGAATCATAAAATCATAGAATCATAGAATCACAGAACGGCCTGGGTTGCAGAGGAGCACAGAGCTCATCCAGCTCCAACCTGTTCCTGCTGCATGCAGGTCACCAACCAGCAGCCCAGGCTGCCCAGAGCCACATCCAGCCTGGCCTTGAATGCCTGCAGGTTTGGGGCATCCACAGCCTCCTTGGGCAACCTGTGCCAGTGCCTCACCACCCTCTGCCTCCAAAACTTCCTCCTCACATCCAACACAAACCTCCCCTGACTCACTTTCAAGCCGTTCCTTGTCCCATCACCATCCACCCTCACACACAGCCGTTCCCCCTCCTGTTTGCCCGCTCCCTTCAAGCACTGAAGGCCACCATGAGGTCTCCCTGCAGCCTTCTCTTCTCCAAGCTCAACAAGCCCAGTTCCCTCAACCTTTCCTCACAGCAGAGCTGCTCCAGCCCTCTGCTCATCTCAGTGTCCTCCTCTGGACCCGCTCCAAGAGCTCCACGTCCTTCCTGTGCTGTTTTGTGCGGAGGCAATGCTGATGTTTGTTCCGTGCGTGGTTCCGTGCTTTATTCAACCTGCACAGCGTGCTGCTCTTTGTAACCACTGCAACCGAGGACAAGTGGGGCCGGTGAGGGCAACACTTCTGAGCAAGCCCAAGAAATCCAGGGTAGAACTGTGCAACATTTATCCCCCCCATACCTCCAGCTCTCTTTCCCTTATCTTTACTTTCTTTTTCTTTTCTTTCCTCACCACCCTCGATGGTCATTTATTCACCAGTTTCAAACAACCTTTGAGCCACTGCGTGATGGGGTGACAGAGAAGCAGTGTTGGTTGGGCTCAAATCTGGCTGCATGAGGCACTTTCGATGATAAGACTTACTGACAGCTGGGAATTATCCGGGGCTGAGCGGGGGCTGCTGCCATGTCACAGCGCTGCTGCTTATGGCTGCGAAGATCAGCAGAGGCGGACAAGCAGCTTTGCCTTGGGTGGACTGGAGGAGCCGAGCTGACACACCAAGAACAGCAGTGCCTGCATATAAAGGCTGAAGTACACACAGCATCCCAGGGAAACGGGCCGGAGCTGTGAGAAGCAATGCACATACTGTGCCAGCCTCCTGAGCATGAGTGCTGTAAATGGGGTTGGGGTCTCTGGTGGTCGTTGGATGAAGGCTTGCAGTCACCGTCACTGTGAACCTCCAACCTTTTGGTGGGGGCAGCCCAAACAACACGGCACTGGCGCTGTGTTCAGTTCAGGCATCTGCTTTGCTGCCATACCTTCAACAACAAGGCCTCCATTGTTCTTTCTTATCTTTGATTGCCTGAGATTTACTGCCGACTCTGCATTCTGCCCTCAGCTCACCCTTATGCAGGCACACCGTCTTCCACCTGCTCACTGCTTCATCAGTGTGCAAAGGCACTTCTCACCAAGAGAAGCTGCTCTCGTGATTCACCCGCTGTCGTTCCCCGTTGGACAGCGGCACCAAAAGCGTCCAAAAAGCAGCGGGAAGCAGCGCCTGCAGTTTCCACGCGATGCAATGAGGGCGCCTTGCTGCCCTCCTGTCCTTGCGGAGGGGCAGTGCAGAGCTCAGGGCTCTCCCGCAGCTGCCGGGCCCCGATCCATCCCAGCTCCCCATTCAGGAGCGCCGCGCTGCAGCCCGTGCCCTTCATGAGCTCGCAGCTGTAGGAGCTGCTCTTCCCCTGGTGATGGAGGTGATGCCTTTGTTACAGGTGATGCTGGTGACCTTGAGCTGCTCGGCAGCTGGGATGAGGACTTTGTGCTCAGCAGGGAGGGCGGTGAAGCTCTGGACGGGCGCACCATAGCAGGTCTGCACCGAGAAGAAGGTGTGCGGGCCGAGCTCTTTGGGGAGGTTCTTCTGGAGGGAGGAGGAAGGAAAATGTCCTGATCTCTGAAGTGGAGAGCTGTGGGTTTCAAGGGTGGGCAACTCGGTGGGTAAGGAATCGGATGGATGGCCGTGGTCAGAGGGTGGTGGTCAACGGCTCTGAGTTCAGCGGGAGGCGGAGCTGAGCGGTGTCCCCAAGGGGTCCGTCCTGGGAACATCAACATCTCCCTCAGTGACACCAACGATGGGATCGAGTGCAGCCTCAGCAGTTTGCTGCTGACGCCCAGCTGAGCGGTGCGCTTGGCACAGCAGGAGTAAAGGATTGTCCCTCTGCTCCTTCATCATGAGGCCCCACCTGGAGCACTGCACCCAGGTCTGGGTGTCCCGTCCCAGGAAAGACGTGGAGGTGTTGGAATGGGAGCAGAGGAGGTCGCGGAGATGCTGAAAGGGCTGGAGCAGCTCTCCTGTGGGGAAAGGCTGAGGGGGCTGGGGGTGTCCAGCATGGAGAAGGGAAGGAAGGCTCCATGGACCCCTCAGTGCAGCACTGCAGGGCTAACCAGAATGTACAGCACTGCGCTGAGGGCATCGTCCAAATGCCTCCTGAGCACTGCAGGCATGGAGCATCAACTGCTACCTGCAAACCTGTCCCAGTGTGTGACCACCCCGTGCTAACGATAATTCTTCCAATTATCAAGTGGCTCAGAAGAGAGCAGCAGCAAGCCTTCCACCCAATTAAACAGGAACTGGTTCACCCAACTGCCACTGATGTTATGTGGAGGAAGTGACTTGCAGTGACCACACAGTGGGCTCAAGTTGGAATCCCTCGTTGTGCAGGGATCTTGGAAATGATCATGGACTGGATGAAGGCAGAGATTTTGGAACGTCAACAGAGGAGGAGGTGATGGGTGCCTGTGGCTGGGCTCGGGATCGAGGGGTGGACTTGGCCGTGGATGCTATTGCACAGGTTATCATGGATGTGAAACACACAGGGTAATTAAGCAAGTCAAGGGGATAATGACCATTTGTACGGAGGATGATGGCTGACATATAGATATGGGGGGGCCTGGAGGTGGATCATGTCACGTCCCACAGGCTCACCATGGCAATCAGCACATGCTTGCAGTGATGGGGCAGCCACTGATGGGTGGTGAGCTCAACTTCTTTTCTGCTGTTTCCCAATTCTCTCCCCCATCCCCAAGGACGGGGCAGTGAGCAAAGGGGCTGAGCTGCTGCAGGGTAACACCACAACCCCGTGGCTGCACTGCCTGGCGCTGCAGGCCCCGACATTGAGGTGTGGGGTCCTGGGCTGACGTCCATCCACAGAGCTGGGACGGGAGCACTCAGGGCTTGGCTGGGGGCTTTCCTTCCTTCCCTTTTCCCCTGTGAGCAGCTGTCAGTAGTTCCATTGCTTTTCCCTTGGTGTCTCTGGTAGCATGGGAACACTTTCTGTGCTTTTTGCTTCTGCTTACGGGAAATGGAGAGGGACAGCATAAAGGAAGTGGCAAAGGGAGGAGGGGAGAGTGAAACAGGCAGAGGAGGCAGCGGGGTGATCCTGAGCACACTGAGCTGTGCCCCCTCCTGTGCCCCTGCGCCGTTGCTGAGCAGTGCTGCACAGAGCTGGGCTCCTGCATCCTTCTGCACATGGAGCTCACTGTCCTGGGCTGGGTGCTACTGCTCGGCACCTGGACTGCTGCATCGGCTGCCGGCATTAAGAACAGCCAGATCAAGGAGGTGGCGATGGACATGGCCCCCAACTCCTTTGATGACCAGTACCAGGGCTGCATCGACTCGATGGAGGCTGAGCTGCCGGAGCTGAACCGCACCGAGTTCAACAACAGAACCTACGCTGAGGGCTGGCGTTCTGCCACTGAGCTGTGGCAGAGCCGATCGGGTGATGCCACCAGCCCAGTGGTGTTGGAACGGGATCAGGCCATAGCTGTGCTGGCGTACACGATGGAGGGGGATCTGTACCGCGTCTTCAACAACGCCACGCTCACGGCTGGGAGCTCCCGGCAGCACTACCTGAGCTCCTACCCCTTCAAGACGCTGCATTTCCTCCTGAGCAGAGCCCTGCAGACCCTGCGGGAATCCCAGACCCAGCAATGCTACCACGTCTACCGCGGTGTCAGGGGCACCCGATTCACAGCACAGCAAGGCCAGGTGGTTCGCTTCGGCCAGTTCACCTCCTCCTCCTTCAACCAGGGGGTCGCTGAAGGTTTTGGCCGGGACACGTTCTTCTTGGTGCTGACCTGCTATGGTGTGCCCATCAAGGACCTCTCCGCGTTCCCCAGTGAGGACGAAGTCCTCATCCCACCTGCCGAGCACTTTGAGGTCACCAGCATCACCTACACGACGGACGGAAACTTCATCCAGCTCCAATCCCGGTGGAACAGCAGCACCTACAACTGCGAGTTTGTGAAGGGTAAGGGCTGCAGAGCTCCAGAATGGGGAGCTTGGGTGGATCTGGGAAGTGAGATCTGAGGGCGTGGGGAGGCTGTGCAGGCTGTGGTCGTGGGGAGGTGGGGAGCTCGGCCAACGGGGAGCCCACGGGGAACTTGAGGCCAGGCCCCGCTGATGGCTGCAGCCCGGCAGCTCTGCGCTGGGGTCGCAGTGCAGTGGGAGCCTCTGTCTGTGCTGTGGCCCTCCCAGCCCGGCTCCCGTGGCTGGCCGTGTGCTTTCAGTGCAGGTAAGAGGAGCCCCCAGCCCGCAGCCCCTGGCCCAGGCTGGGCGCCTCTTGCAGCCCCACTGCCATTAATGCCCATCCCCATCCTCCCCAGGCAGGAGCAGCCCCATGGAATCCCCACACCTCTGGGTGCTCATCCTGGCAGCCGCAGCCCTGGCAGCCGTGGCAGAGTCCTGACCTCTACACCATCCCTCCACATGGTCAGGAGGGCAGCAACGTGCCAACACATCTCATGGAAACTGCAGATGCTGCTTTCCTGCTCCTGACGCTTTTGGTGCCGCTGTTGGATGTGGAACAGCGGCAGAGAATGATCCAGAGCTCTGACAGAAAAATAAAAGCATTGTTTTTATCGGTTGTATTCACTGCATCTCCCAGCCCTGCTCATGCGGCTCACCAGGCACTTGCTTTAATGAAGCCCCTCTGCCCCACAGACAGCTGAGAGGGGGGCACCAGGAGCCCCACACACAGCATCCAGTGGGGCAGCCATCGCCCCTCGCTGTTGGGCTCATCACGAGTTCTGTTCTGTGTCAGCCCACTTGTCCACCCTCTTTGCTGGGTGATGTAAAGGAAGGAAACCCTATAACCCACGTTGATGCTGATCGCTGTTTGGGTGGGTAGAAGTAATTGGAATGGTTATAAAATCATAAAATCATAGAATCATAAAATCATAGAATCATAGAATCACAGAACGGCCTGGGTTGCAGAGGAGCACAGTGCTCATCCACTTCCAACCTGTTCCTGCTGCATGCAGGTCACCAACCAGCAGCCCAGGCTGCCCAGAGCCACATCCAGCCTGGCCTTGAATGCCTGCAGGTTTGGGGCATCCACAGCATCCTTGGGCAACCTGTGCCAGTGCCTCACCACCCTCTGCCTCCAAAACTTCCTCCTCACATCCAACACAAACCTCCCCTGACTCACTTTCAAGCCGTTCCTTGTCCCATCACCATCCACCCTCACACACAGCCGTTCCCCCTCCTGTTTGCCCGCTCCCTTCAAGCACTGAAGGCCACCATGAGGTCTCCCTGCAGCCTTCTCTTCTCCAAGCTCAACAAGCCCAGTTCCCTCAACCTTTCCTCACAGCAGAGCTGCTCCAGCCCTCTGCTCATCTCAGTGTCCTCCTCTGGACCCGCTCCAAGAGCTCCACGTCCTTCCTGTGCTGTTTTGTGCGGAGGCAATGCTGATGTTTGTTCCGTGCGTGGTTCCGTGCTTTATTCAACCTGCACAGCGTGCTGCTCTTTGTAACCACTGCAACCGAGGACAAGTGGGGCCGGTGAGGGCAACACTTCTGAGCAAGCCCAAGAAATCCAGGGTAGAACTGTGCAACATTTATCCCCCCCATACCTCCAGCTCTCTTTCCCTTATCTTTACTTTCTTTTTCTTTTCTTTCCTCACCACCCTCGATGGTCATTTATTCACCAGTTTCAAACAACCTTTGAGCCACTGCGTGATGGGGTGACAGAGAAGCAGTGTTGGTTGGGCTCAAATCTGGCTGCATGAGGCACTTTCGATGATAAGACTTACTGACAGCTGGGAATTATCCGGGGCTGAGCGGGGGCTGCTGCCATGTCACAGCGCTGCTGCTTATGGCTGCGAATATCAGCAGAGGCGGACAAGCAGCTTTGCCTTGGGTGGACTGGAGGAGCCGAGCTGACACACCAAGAACAGCAGTGCCTGCATATAAAGGCTGAAGTACACACAGCATCCCAGGGAAACGGGCCGGAGCTGTGAGAAGCAATGCACATACTGTGCCAGCCTCCTGAGCATGAGTGCTGTAAATGGGGTTGGGGTCTCTGGTGGTCGTTGGATGAAGGCTTGCAGTCACCGTCACTGTGAACCTCCAACCTTTTGGTGGGGGCAGCCCAAACAACACGGCACTGGCGCTGTGTTCAGTTCAGGCATCTGCTTTGCTGCCATACCTTCAACAACAAGGCCTCCATTGTTCTTTCTTATCTTTGATTGCCTGAGATTTACTGCCGACTCTGCATTCTGCCCTCAGCTCACCCTTATGCAGGCACACCGTCTTCCACCTGCTCACTGCTTCATCAGTGTGCAAAGGCACTTCTCACCAAGAGAAGCTGCTCTCGTGATTCACCCGCTGTCGTTCCCCGTTGGACAGCGGCACCAAAAGCGTCCAAAAAGCAGCGGGAAGCAGCGCCTGCAGTTTCCACGCGATGCAATGAGGGCGCCTTGCTGCCCTCCTGTCCTTGCGGAGGGGCAGTGCAGAGCTCAGGGCTCTCCCGCAGCTGCCGGGCCCCGATCCATCCCAGCTCCCCATTCAGGAGCGCCGCGCTGCAGCCCGTGCCCTTCATGAGCTCGCAGCTGTAGGAGCTGCTCTTCCCCTGGTGATGGAGGTGATGCCTTTGTTACAGGTGATGCTGGTGACCTTGAGCTGCTCGGCAGCTGGGATGAGGACTTTGTGCTCAGCAGGGAGGGCGGTGAAGCTCTGGACGGGCGCACCATAGCAGGTCTGCACCGAGAAGAAGGTGTGCGGGCCGAGCTCTTTGGGGAGGTTCTTCTGGAGGGAGGAGGAAGGAAAATGTCCTGATCTCTGAAGTGGAGAGCTGTGGGTTTCAAGGGTGGGCAACTCGGTGGGTAAGGAATCGGATGGACGGCCGTGGTCAGAGGGTGGTGGTCAACGGCTCTGAGTTCAGCGGGAGGCGGAGCTGAGCGGTGTCCCCAAGGGGTCCGTCCTGGGAACATCAACATCTCCCTCAGTGACACCAACGATGGGATCGAGTGCAGCCTCAGCAGTTTGCTGCTGACGCCCAGCTGAGCGGTGCGCTTGGCACAGCAGGAGTAAAGGATTGTCCCTCTGCTCCTTCATCATGAGGCCCCACCTGGAGCACTGCACCCAGGTCTGGGTGTCCCGTCCCAGGAAAGACGTGGAGGTGTTGGAATGGGAGCAGAGGAGGTCGCGGAGATGCTGAAAGGGCTGGAGCAGCTCTCCTGTGGGGAAAGGCTGAGGGGGCTGGGGGTGTCCAGCATGGAGAAGGGAAGGAAGGCTCCATGGACCCCTCAGTGCAGCACTGCAGGGCTAACCAGAATGTACAGCACTGCGCTGAGGGCATCGTCCAAATGCCTCCTGAGCACTGCAGGCATGGAGCATCAACTGCTACCTGCAAACCTGTCCCAGTGTGTGACCACCCCGTGCTAACGATAATTCTTCCAATTATCAAGTGGCTCAGAAGAGAGCAGCAGCAAGCCTTCCACCCAATTAAACAGGAACTGGTTCACCCAACTGCCACTGATGTTACGTGGAGGAAGTGACTTGCAGTGACCACACAGTGGGCTCAAGTTGGAATCCCTCGTTGTGCAGGGATCTTGGAAATGATCATGGACTGGATGAAGGCAGAGATTTTGGAACGTCAACAGAGGAGGAGGTGATGGGTGCCTGTGGCTGCGCTCGGGATCGAGGGGTGGACTTGGCCGTGGATGCTATTGCACAGGTTATCATGGATGTGAAACACACAGGGTAATTAAGCAAGTCAAGGGGATCATGACCATTTGTACGGAGGATGATGGCTGACATATAGATATGGGGGGGCCTGGAGGTGGATCATGTCACGTCCCACAGGCTCACCATGGCAATCAGCACATGCTTGCAGTGATGGGGCAGCCACTGATGGGTGGTGAGCTCAACTTCTTTTCTGCTGTTTCCCAATTCTCTCCCCCATCCCCAAGGACGGGGCAGTGAGCAAAGGGGCTGAGCTGCTGCAGGGTAACACCACAACCCCGTGGCTGCACTGCCTGGCGCTGCAGGCCCCGACATTGAGGTGTGGGGTCCTGGGCCGACGTCCATCCACAGAGCTGGGACGGGAGCACTCAGGGCTTGGCTGGGGGCTTTCCTTCCTTCCCTTTTCCCCTGTGAGCAGCTGTCAGTAGTTCCATTGCTTTTCCCTTGGTGTCTCTGGTAGCATGGGAACACTTTCTGTGCTTTTTGCTTCTGCTTACGGGAAATGGAGAGGGACAGCATAAAGGAAGTGGCAAAGGGAGGAGGGGAGAGTGAAACAGGCAGAGGAGGCAGCGGGGTGATCCTGAGCACACTGAGCTGTGCCCCCTCCTGTGCCCCTGCGCCGTTGCTGAGCAGTGCTGCACAGAGCTGGGCTCCTGCATCCTTCTGCACATGAAGCACACTGTCCTGGGCTGGGTGCTGCTGCTCGGCACCTGGACTGCTGCATCGGCTGCCGGCATTAAGAACAGCCAGATCAAGGAGGTGGCGATGGACACGGCCCCCAACTCCTTTGATGACCAGTACCAGGGCTGCATCGACTCGATGGAGGCTGAGCTGCCGGAGCTGAACCGCACCGAGTTCAACAACAGAACCTACGCTGAGGGCTGGCGTTCTGCCACTGAGCTGTGGCAGAGCCGATCGGATGATGCCACCAGCCCAGTGGTGTTGGAACGGGATCAGGCCATAGCTGTGCTGGCGTACACGATGGAGGGGGATCTGTACCGCGTCTTCAACAACGCCACGCTCACGGCTGGGAGCTCCCGGCAGCA